TGTGGCTTGCCACCGGCGGGGTCCCAGCACTCTGGCCTCGGGGGTGCAGGTAGCTCAGACGGCTAGGACCGAGGCTGGAGCCATCAGGACTGCCCTGGGTCTAGCTTCAGGGTCCACACACTGGCTTAGACACCGAACCACTGGAGGAGAGTCACCCCACAAGATGGGAGGGGCCCGGCCCTGATGTGGGGCTCGAGGCTGGCTGGCACAAGACTGGGGAAGCGGACACCAGCTCCATGACCTGCAGAGGTGGGATGCTGGAGCCCTCTGTGGGCTGAGTCAGCGCTCAGGCCGGCCTCCTCAGTCCGTAGGCCCAATGGTGAGCTCAAGCCTCAGGACAGACAGCCATGGAGAGAGCGCTACAAAAGGGTTTATTCCTTCCAGCCACGCAGCCACACCACAGGCTGGTTTACATTCCAGGCTGGGGGAGCAGGAGGGTCCACCCACGCCCCCAGGAGAGATGTCCCTGAGTTGGTGCCCCATGGCCCCCCTCTGCCTTCCTCCTCAAGGGCTGGGCTCAGAGGCTAGGACTTGCCCTGGAGTCCCGCCAGCTCTGAGGTCTCCTTCACCTTGACGAAAGTGCCACTGCTCTGGGGCCAGAGGCCATGCCCAGGTTGGGCAGAGATCTATCCAGAAAGAATGGAGCCTCCACCAGGGCTGGCCGAGGTGGCACCCGAGGGCAGAGGAGCAGGCTGGGGCAGGGGAGATGGAGCCTCGGGCGCAAGCCCCAGCCAAGCTCACAAGGTGACCAGAACCCCCTTGGGAGGCCCAAGGTGGAGACCCACGGCCACCCCTGGGGCCCAAGGGTCTTCACAGAGCTGTTTCCTTAGAGACTCTGGTCCCCAGCTGCCTGGGAGGCTTGAAGCTGAGCACCTCTTTGTAAGTGACACCTGGGGAGGGCGAGAGCAACAGAGGGAGGGCGTCACAGACTCACGTGGCAGCGCCTCGCGGGCCCTTCCTCTAACCCTAAACGGGCCAGTATCCTTAAGGAAGGCTTGTGCTTTACATCTGGACATTCCCAGGGAAACGAGAGGTGACGAGAGTTTGCACTCCCGACCAGCGTTCTGGCCCCGTATCGTAAAACCAGAAGCTCCCAGCCACTGTTTGTGTGGGTGGGGACCACAGGGAGGTTCCTGTGGCCAGTGGTTTTCAAGCTATCTCTTTGAGCATCAGAAGTCTTTCATCAAACAAGCAAACTTCTGAGCACACAAGGCAGTACAGATCAGGGCAGAGCCCCTGCTGGAGGCACCCAGGAACCCTGTAGCCCTCAGGAACACTGATAATCCCTGGGTCTGAGGCAGAGCCAGGATGTAGCCTGGGACACAGTGGCACGCCCAGCACCAGCCTGCTGCCCTCAGACATCTCTGCCCCCAGACTGGTCATGTAGACACCAGCCCAGCCTTTATGACCTGCTGTGCTGGGCCAGAGGCAAGGCGTCTCAGGGCTTCAGCGGGGTGCAGGGTGTGGGGTGTGGGAGCTTCCCCGTGCCTAGTCCTCAGGAAGAGGGAGAGTGCTGTGTAAGGCCACCAGCACAAAGCCCGGAGTGCAGAGCACTGCTGGGGGCAGGGCCCTGGACTGCTCGGTGGGGCTGCAAGGGCTGCGCGAGAGTGGCAGGGGGGATGGCATTCCGGAGTGCAGGGAGGCAGATGGTTGTCCAAATGAGGGGCCACTAAGATAGGGCAAGAGAGGCAAGGACTCACTCAGGAGAGGTGGGCAGAGAGCCCAGGGGACAAGTGGATGTGGAGTGTGGCCGGGTCTCTGGCTTGACATGGGGGAGGCCATGGGGGCGGGGCAGGAGAGGCATCGTGGGCACGGCGGCCCACACAGAGGCGCCCTCACCGTTCCCAAGCATGTTCTGCGCCAACCTGCAAGCCGAGCCCTGCCTGAAACCCCCTCCCTCTCCCTCCAGTGCCAGCCAGAGGCCACCAGCGCCAGGCCGTGTGGGCCTCCTCTGCCTCCGGCCTCCTGTCCTGCTCCTTCCCGACCCGCATCCCCAGAACAGAGGCTGACTCTGACCCTGGCTCTCTGCATGGGCCCGGCCCAGAGCCCCCACTCACGCTTCCACTCGTCCAGCGTGCGGTCCACATCGTCAAAGGAGTCGTCGTACTTCTGGGCCTTGGGCTCGTCCTCCGGGTCACGCAGGGACTCGAAGTAGGGGTGGGCCAGAGCCTCGGCCGCTGTCACCCGCTGTTCCGCGTCCAGCACCAGCATCTTCTCCAGCAGGCTCACAGCTGGGAGACGGGGAGGTCAGGCCGGCCAGGGAGGCCCAAGCGCCCCGCCCCGGCCCCTCCTGCGGCCCTACCCAGGGGGCTGGCGCTGGCCAGGACGGAGGCAAAGTCCTTCTTCTCCAGCTCAGGGAGGCCCTTCATGTAGCTCTTAGCCTGCGCGGGAGGAGGGCGTGAGGGCCCCGCAGGCCAGGTCCCCCAGCCCGCCTGGCCCCCACTGACGTCGGCACTCTGCAGCCGCTGCACGAACTCGTCCGGTGGCGTCCCCGTCACCTTCATGATCTCCTTCAGCTGGTCCAGGTCTGCACCGAGGTCAGGAGCACAGCCCAGGGCCAGAGAGCAGGGCACCCACAGCCTGGGCAGGAGCCCAGACCCCCTCCCTGCCCCCGGGCTGCCCCCAGCTGGAGGATACGGTCATTGCCCTTGAACAGCGTCTTGCCCGTGATCATCTCGGCCATGATGCAGCCCACCGACCAGACGTCCACTGAGACAGAAGCCCCGCTCAGCGCTCCGTGGGCAGGGGGAGGGGACACAGACCTGGCCTGTCTGGGTCCGGCCTGCCTACACCCCACCCGCTCCCTCCTGGCTCAGCAGCCTCCCTGGGGGACTGCACGGGGGCTCCCCATCAGGAGCGAGAAGCAGGTGGTATAAGCCAGAGCCCCCGAGTCCCCGGCAGCCTCTCACCCGTCTGCGTGTAACGCATCCAATTCAAGATGACCTCAGGCGCCCGGTACCACCGGGTCACCACATACCCGGTCATCTCACTGTCTGCCTGCCTGGCCAGGCCAAAGTCCAGGATCTGTGAGAAGAAACAGGGAGGTGGGCCAAGGGGACACCAAGGAGCAGACAGGCCGGTGGCGGTCCAGGAGGCTTCAAGAGGCCTGGGCTTGAAGCCCCACGCTGGGGCCTCCAGCCAGCCTTCTGGGGCTTAAGCTGCCCCGGGTTCCTCCCTGTGGCCAGTGCGCCCGGAGCAGGCGCCCAGGGTCTCCTCCCACTCCCCTCTGGGAAGGCCACCTCAGCTTGGCCCCGGGTCAGCTGGGGACCAGGATGCCCCCTTCACCAAAGCAGGTGTGGAGTGTGCTGGAGGCACCCACCACTGCCTGCCTAGAGGCTTTGGGCACGCCAGAGGTACCCTCTGACCCACCCGCCCTCAGGCTGCCAGGCAAGCGGCACACCTTCAGCTCACAGTCCTCGTTCACCGCCAGGTTGCTGGGTTTCAGGTCCTGGGGACAGAGGAGAGGCAGCCACTGTGCGCCGCCCTGCAGGGCACGGACGCGGCCAAGAGCCCAGGCAGCACCTATACAGAGGGCAGCAGGCTGGCCCAGCCCCGGCCCCCGGGAAAGTGTGGAGGTGCCAGGCCCTCGGGGCTGGCTTCCCGTGGGGCAGACCCCCCTATAGCCCTCACTGTGGCAGACGGAGCCCCACCCACGCCCACATGGCCGGGGACTCACCCGGTGGATGATGCCAGCAGCGTGGATGTACTGTGGGCAGAGGACACGGCAAGCGTCAGCCTGGGGCCTCGCCCCACAAGCCCTGCCCACCCACCTCCCCCAGCTGACCCACCTTCAGCCCCCTCAGCATCTGATACACGAGGAACTGGACGCGGTCCTCGCTCAGCGTCTCGTGCTTCATAAGCTTGCTCAGGTCCGTGCCCATGAACGGCATCACCAGGTAACTGGGGGCGGCCAGGCACGGTCAGCGGCGCCGGGCTGGCTCCTGGACCCAGGAGTCCCACCCCGCTGGCGCCCCTCAGAAGCCTGCCCTGCGGCCCCATCCCCACCGGCCTCGCGGGCCCGCCACCCTCCGTGCTGGGCCGGGCCCATCCTGCCCGCTGTCACGCTCGGCGGTGCCCGCTCTGGAGTTTCTGAGTTCTCTAGAAGCCCCCGCATGCGCCAGACCGGGGGCCGAGGCTGCCTCTTGACAGGCAAGGGAGAGGGCGGTGGGGTTTCCACTTCAGAACTGAGCACCAGAGAGAGGAGGGGGCGCCTGGGGGGAGGGCAGAGCGGGAGAGGCAGAGGGGAGGGGCATTGGACGAGGTGGCTCCAAGGCCCGCGTGGCCCTCGGCCTCCACACGTCAGGCGGTAGGCGCCCGCCCCCCACCCCAGCAGACCTGGGCCTGGTCCTTCGACCTGGCCGGCAGGGTGTGAGTCCCCAGGCGGCTGGCCTCCCTGCAGCTTCTTCCCCACCCGCTGGCAAAGGTCGGCAGCTCCAGTTACCCACCACACACCGGGAGCCAGGGCTCCGAGCACGGGACCTGCCTGTTCACAAATGCTCAGGGCCAAGGTTCGCACCTCCAGGGCTGGAGAGGGCCCAGGTGCCAGGCTTGGAGGGAGGGGGCCGCCCCACTCTGCCCGGCTGTGCCAGTGCCCAGGAGGCTTTACAGGGGAGAGGGTGTGCGGTGGTCTGTGGCGTGGGTGGCCAGGCCAGGAAGAGGCCCCTGGCCGGCCAGCCCAGGCCGGCACTCACAAATCCGTGAAGTCGTCCAGGGTCTCGTCAGGAGTGAACACATCCAGCAGCCCGATCACCTGGGGGCAGGCAGGTGGGGCTGAGGGCCCAGCAGAGCACACAGGGGCCCAGGCAACCCCAGGGTGGCACGGCCCTCTGGGCAGGAAGCGCCCCCCCCCCGCAGCTGTCCTTGTCATGCCCCACCGTCCACAGGGCCTGGCTCTGCCCACTGGTGTGGCTGGGTCCTGGCACACATGCCCACAGACACAGGCTATTTTCGGCTGGTGACAGCCGGGGCCTTCTGGGGGAGGGGATGCCCAGGTCAGGGCAGGCGCTGAGCCATCCGAAGGGCTTGGGCCCCTTCCTCCCCTCTTCTCCTCCCTAACCAAGCAGATGCAGGACCAGGCTGGGGACCGCACCATGGAGAGAGGCCATGCCTCTGCAGGCGAGGCCCACACGGGCAGCCCTGTGACCAGCCAAACCTGGTCCCCAGAGAGCCCTTAGGAGGGAGAGATGGACAGCAGACAGGTCATGTGGCAGCCGCTTCCCCAGCTCTCCGGGTGGATGTGATGGCTGCGGGACACCTGGCAAAGGCCAAGTGCAAGGTGGCCAAGGCAGGAAGGAGAACATTTGAGGAGTCCAAGGAACACAGGGAGGGAGGCCAGGTGGCTAAAGCCCAGGCCGGCGGTAGGGGGCCAAGGAGAGGCGGAAGGAGCCAGCTGGGCCTCACACACTGGGGGAGGTTTGGCTTTGAGCCTAAGAGCCGGGGTTTGTTTATTTTGTATTTTTGTAGTTGGAGTCTCACTCTGTCGCCCAGGCTGGAGTGCATGGCACACTCACAGCCACCGCAGCCTCCACCTGCTGGGCTCAGGCGATCCTTCCACCTCAGCTTTCCAAGCAGCTGGGACTGCAGGTGTGTGCCACCACACCTGGCTAATTTTTTGTAGTGGCAAGGTCTCGCTAAGTTGCCCAGACTGGTCTCAAACCCCTAGGCTCAGGCAGTCCTCTCGCCTCCACCTTGAGGTGCTGGGATGCCAGGTGTGAGCCACACGCCCGGCTGAGGATGAGCTTAAACAGGGTGTGAAGCTAGATGCATCCTCCTGGCTGTAGTGTCAGGACAGGCCAGGGTGGGCAAGGTTGCACAGGAGGTAGAAGAACAGTCGGGTGAGTGTTGTAGCCACCAGGGCCAGAGCTGTGGGCAGGAGTGCAGAGAGAGGAGGAGTAAGGAAGAAGGGGACATCCAGAGAGGGGCGGGGGCCGCAGACAGCCCTGAGAGCCAGGTGCCTCAAGTGCCCTAGGGGAGTGCTCCAGCAGGAGAGGACAGAGAACGGAGTCCTGGGGTCTGAGGGGGTGACAGCTGAGTGGACTTCGCCTCTGTGCTATGGGACTGGGATTTAGGACAGGCGAGGGGCCCTGGGGGTGGCAGGCCTGGGGCCTGTGGTAGCTCCTCCTTCTCCCTCCCAGCAAGGCCTTGGGCCTCAAAAAGCCTCAGTCTTAGTCAGGCATGGTGGCCCGAGCCTGTCATCCCAGCACTTTGGGAAGCCGAGGCGAGCAGACTGCCTGAGCTCAGGGGTTCAAGACCAGCCTGGGTAACTTGGTGAGATCTTGGCTCTGCAATAAATCAAAAAATTCAGCCAGGTGTGGTAGCATGTGCCTGTAGTTCTAGCTACTTGGAAGGCTGAGGCGGAAGGATCGCTGGAGCCCAGCAGGTTGAGGTTGCGGCGCCTGTGAGCATGCCTCCGCACTCCAGCCTGGGTGACAGTGAGACTCTGACTCAAAAAAAAAAGTCTGTCTCCTTGTGGGGAGATGGGGTTTCTGTGGGCAGAACTTCCAGTTGCAGAAAGGCCTGGAGCCCCTGGGACGGTGGGACCGCCAGTGTGGTGAGGGGAGCCCAGCACAGACTCGGCAGAGGCAGGAGGTGACTAAAGGGAAGCCCCAGAGCCCGTGGCTGGACGGAGGCCACAGACAGGCCCACTGTGCTGGGGGCAGGTGTGGGGAGCCCTGGGAGAGAAACTGGATGAAATCAAGGGTGGAGGCAGCTGCAGTCACGGGTGCAAAGCTGGGGTGTGAGTGGGGTGGGGCTGGGGTCCGCCACAGTGGACTTAGGGTTAGGAAGAGGATGAGCCAGGGCCAGGGAGGACTGAGGACCCACCACATGGCTGAGTGGCAGTGGCCGGGAAGCAAGGGGCCAGGTTGCCGGTGGACAGAAAAACTCACTCCCCAAGAGGACTGGTGGCGCTGAGGTCTGGACCACCGGCCCTCAGACCGGCCAGATCGGGGCAGGCAGGAGTGGCGTGGGTGGGCGTGGGCAGGAGGAGTCGTGTTGGGAAACCAGAGCTGCCCTGGCAGCAAGAAGGCCTGAGCCGCCAGCACCGGCAGGGGAGAGGCCTGAGGCAGCCGCCTGTGCAGCACACGCGGGACTGGAAACGAGAGAGGCCCTTCCCGGGAAGGATCCAGATGCGCTCCCCACAAATGGAAGAGTGCCTGTGATGGCCATGGTGCCTCCCTCAACCCTTCCCGAGAGCCCCCTGAGGGGCGGGCGGGGCCCAGTGCCCACCCCTGCCTTGGCCTACATTCCGAGGACTGCCCTACCAGGGCTGGCACACTCAGGAGGCGGACCCCAGCAGAGAGGATTCGGGACTGGTGCGGGCAGGAGGGGCTGGAGGAGGGGCTGAGTGGCAAGGGGAGGCGCCCCTCCGGAGAACCCATCACCCCTGGAGCGCCCCTCCCCCGCAGAGCTCCCGGTTGGAGGCAGGGCTTGGAGTGAGGCCTGGAGGATCCTCTGCGCCGGGCCAAGTCACACCCGCTGACCAGTGCCTGGGCTGGGGAGCCAGATGTGTCCCAGACAGGTCAGGGGACTGAGTCCTTCCCAGAGAATGGCACAGAGCAGGACTGGGCCTTGGGGGGTGTTTCCCAGACAAGAGCTGGGTTCTGCCCTCCGTCTCTCCTCACGGGACACTGCCCTGGCCCCGGCCACCCCTCCGCGGTGGGCTGCTTGGGGGCTGGGTAGAGAGGCGGCCCCCAGGCAAGGCAGTGGGGTAGAGTAGGGCTTGCTGGGGCGGGGGTAGCAGAAGCGACGGCACCTCCCGGAGCTCGGTTAGGGCTAGCGTTGGGGTTGGATTGAGGTTAGAACTGGGGTGGGAAATACGGCTGGGCTTCGGATTGGGCTCAGAGCCAGTGCCGGAGTTGGGGTCAGGGCTGGGCGGGCCGGCGGGCTGGCGGCGGCGGGCCAGCCACTCACGTTCTCGTGGCGCATGTGTTTGAGGAGGCGCAGCTCGCGGTAGGCGCGCTTGGCGAACAGCTCCGACTGGAAGGGCCGGTACAGCTTCTTGA